TGTTTTTTATGTCCACTGAAGTAAACATGTTCGTGTTTTTTATGTCCACTGAAGTAAACATGTGTTTGTGTTTTTTATGTCCACTGAAGTAAACGTGTTTGTGTTTTTTATGTCCACTGAAGTAAACGTGTGTTCACGGTGCTGTGTAATTGTATGACCACGCTGCCATGCACTTCCTCTCTGGACAACAGCAAAACATGTTTAATGTGTAACAAGAAAAGATTAGAAACACTCTCTTTCTGTCTCCATCGCCTCTACCTGTTAGTTGAAAATTCTGGCCTATTCTTTACAATTTTCTATGATTTATATATATATATATATATATATATATATATATATATATATATATATTAGCCATCTGTTGTTTACTGTGTTATTTAAGCTTAACATTTTGTCAGAACTGATGCGTTCATTGGGGTCTGGTCCCATCACTGAGACATTTCACCTCCGTTACCATATCATTTAAGTTCAAGAAGGTTTCAACAAAACCTGACCCCAGAGGCCGTCCAAAGATTATCTAAAAAAAAACTGCCTTCAGTTTCAGTCAGGAACGTAGCTCCTGAATGAAAAGTTTCTCAGTATTAATTATACAAAGACGGATATGAAATATGTGCAGATGAGTTCGATCTTCATTAAAGCTTCAACTTTATCAGTGTCTTGAGTTGTCACATCTGTATTTTGCTTCCTGGTCATCAGATTTTCTCAAGCTAAAATTGGTCTTAATGGTTTTTCGGAGGGTCCAAAATTTGTATTTGGACTCTGATTGCTTTTCATTCATTTGTGCTTGAGTTATTTTCAGAGGACTGCTGTTTGTATGTTAAACCACTTAGCCTCGACTCATCGTTCAGGTGTAAAAAGGATGAACTAGCATCGTACCAATTTTAAATAAAAACTTTAGGTGCTTTTTAGCAATCATCCTGACCCAGAGATACAATTTTTTTCCAATATATTTAGTTGAACTTAAGAAAAACATCAAAGCTAACCGACACAAAAAAAGTAATTTTAGCACCCAGTGATTTTCAAAGAGCTACTGCTGAAAACTCAACTTGATCAACTGAAGGATGGTGCATCTTTATTATATAGCTGTTGTTTTTTTGGTTTCGTTTTTATATAATTTCTTCTATTTACTTTTCATTGTATATGCTTTTTATATGACTGTCTATTGTTGTCTGTACCTTTGTTAAAACAGGTCTCTTTTGTAAATGAGTCCTCGTGACTCAATGAGACTAGCCTGTATAAATAAAGGTTGAATGAATGAACGAAAATCTTTCAGGTCCTGTGTCAGGTTTAAGTTGGATTTTCTTTCCCCCAATTTCTTAAAGACAGGCCTTTCAAATACAGACGCTTTATTTTGTCCTCCACTTGTCAAGGTTAGGTGCAAGGACTGGACAGAAACTAAGTTAAAAAACTGCAGAAACTCAAACAATCTTTGAAAGACCTTCAGACAGCATGGAGGACTTCTAATCATTTCAAACTATTACAAGAGTGAAAACAGAGCGGGGGTGAAGGAAGCAATTTGAGAAACCATCTTTGAACAGAGGAGGAGGTTTCAGATTTCAACTCTAAAACTTATAATGGGCCTGATACCCTGTTATTTTCACACCTATCAGGAATTTCAGCCATGTCACCAGAGAGCAGATAGTAGTGATGAGTAGTGATGGGGCAATCTACATATGTATTTAGCTCAGCTTTATAACTCGAACCACACTCTCAAGTTCTTTGAATTGTGAAAGCTCCTCGGATGCGAAGCGAAACCTCTTCTGTTACAAACAGTCCGGTTGTTTTTGTCTTGAACTTTTTTTCAAATTACAAGAATGCAAATTAGAAATTGGGAGTTTATTAACCACAAAGGTAAAACCAAAATGTAAACCAGCAATTGAGCAGCAATGAGAGACAAAACGTTTCTATATATATTTTTGTTGTTGTTTTGCTTTGTTTTGAATGTCCAGAGGACCAGATTTAACTTTTTTAGATTTTTCTACCTGGATTATTGAGCATGCATCAGGATAAAGCAGCAATTGTTTATCTGAAAGAAAACAGAAACAATCAAATAATATACGAAACTTAACTATTTGTAATTTTCATCTAAAATGTTAAATACGACACAGTATATGTTAAATTAGCTTTAGTCGTTTTCATTACAGTAAAAAAAAAAAAAAAAAAGTAAAAAAAAAAAAAGGCTCACTGGAGGGCGCTAAACAAAGCTTCGGGTTCTCGGGGTACAACTCGAGAAAGCAGGAGGCCATTCACTAGCCTGTTTTAGCTACTGTTAGCTAGCCGGCGGCTAACGAGCAAGCTAAAACACCACTTTGGCTTCATGTCGCCCGTTTTATTAAGTGATGGCAAGAGAACAGTGTTCACAAACCGAGGCTGGTGAGTGCTGGCTAACCCTTTTTCACGGACGACGAAGATGTTTGCATTTACAGTTTAATTGTGTATATAAGCCTGAAGGTAGCTACCGTTAGCTCGGTTCGGTAGCGACGCTAGCAAGCTAACAAGTTGTTTCTTTTCAGAATTATACTACCTCATCACCAGATTTCTTCAGTCCGGACCCTGTAAAAAAGCAGCACAGGTAGCGGTCACAATTCTGCTTCATATTGTTTAAAATCTATTTAAATAGTCGCCCGTGTTAGCCTGATGCTAACAGTGTTTGTGTTTGTTAGATTCTGGTTGAGGAGCTGGAGGAGTATGAGGTAAAGTTCAGTTTCTGTGTGCTCATGTGGTTTCCGTCAGGATGCCTATCCGTTCCTTGTGCCTGCAGAAAAAAAAAGTTTATAGATTGGCTATTTAAAAAAAATGAAGCGCTTTAATTGTCGAGTTGAAGCTAGTTAGCATTGTGTTAATGGAGTTGTTTTTTAAATGTAGTTGATCCCGCAACGATGGAGTTGGGACGGGAAGAAATACAAACGGACCTTTCAGGACTGGGTGAGTGTTATTAGTCATTATTGTGTTTTTTTATATATATCTTATGTACTGTTTTATTTATTTTTATTTAATTGGCTTTTGTCTCCGAGCGGATTTTATTTTTTAGGAAAACTCGCCACTTAAAACAAAAATCTTCTAGTTCATTTGTGATTAATAAAAAATATTAAATGATTTTAGTATAGGCCTCTTGATAAATAACTAAATACTGGCTACGCTATTGTGTGGGCTAGTAGGCTGATAGAGTGGAGACGGGGGCAGGTTCTGATTGGCTGAACCAGATAGAGAACGCTGTCAATCTTCTTCTGTAGCCAATCAAATCGCTGTTCCGTTTCTAAGCCACCCGGAAGAGTCATATTAAACTCGTTTGATTCGCTTCGACTCTTTTGCCCTACCCCTTTTCCCTCACATTTTACGTGTGTTAACGTTATGTTTACTATATTTTTCATTCAACCGTTATTTAGTCAGGTTAATCTCATCGAGCCTCGATGACTCATTTACAAGAGAGACCTGAAAATTTAGTTTATAAAACTCTTTGAATTTTGTGTAAACAATATTCAAACAGTCAACAATTCCAAATTTTTGGAATAGTGTTTTTATTTCATTTATTTAAACCTTTATTTTTCCAGGAAAGAAATCCATTGAAATTAATAATCTCTTTTACAAAGCTGTCCTTTTTTAAGATATTATATTTCTTTATTTCTTCTATAAGTAGTTTTTAATCCACTTAAAATTTTACAGTTCATGTGAATGCAAAGTTTTTCAGTCTGGACAAAAATATTTTTATGGCGAGCAGAAAAATGTCAAAATATTAAATTTGCTTATGTTTAATCACATCTTTGATGATATAATGTTCAATGTGTTTACTTTAAATAACTAAACAGAAAAGGCTTACTCATTGTATTATATTTGTAACCATATTTTTAATTTTTTCACCAAAACTGATATGATGGTATTTGAGCTGATCTTGAAAGCTAAAGGGAAATCACGCCATTGTATGAGGCAACATTGCAATTTACTAATATGCCATCAAGTATAAAAATAGATAGCATGCCATTTATGTACAAGATGACTGTTGTGATACATTAATGTGGTTTTAGTTTTCAATAAATAGTATGAGCATAAAATAATCCAGCTTTGATCAGTTTCAATGACTAGTTCATATGCAGTCATTTATCCTAATAAACCGCTAGTCATTAAGTAACATGCAGCAATCAAATTTTAAATAACTGGTTGAAAACACTGAAATTTGATTCTCACTGAATATTTGAAGAGCAGCTACAGCTGCATTTTTGTAAAGCTAGGAAGATGAAATTAAAAGATAAGCTGCACCAGCTGAAAAACTAAACAGGAAATCAGTAAATCAAAACTGTGTTTGTCATTACTCAACCATGCCGTGAGGTCCTGCATTTTCTGACTAAAAAAGTTTTGGTTGTGCTAAGTAGCGTAAGCTTTTATAATTTTTAAGTTTTATTCTTAAGGGCCCAGCATCCTCCATCCAAAGCCAAACAGACGACTTGTGGACATCTGAGAAGTTCATTGTTGTGCACACCTTTCAATGTCCACGAGACACGGCACAGAGCTCCTGGAAAACCCCTCCTGCTGCAGTATACGTCACCGCGCAAGTTTCTTCCCGCCATGATTTCTGCTCCATCTTTGCATCCACCAGTTGGCCACAAATCTATCACAAAGAGAGCGCCACACTTTTCAGCAGATCAGCTCCTTCGTGTTCAAAGTGTGCAAGATCTCCATCCATTTACATCCTGGGTTTTTGTCCATGTCCTTGTCTTAGTGTGTTAGAAGAGTCGTACAGCTGAATGTCCGAGCGTATTTCTGCATTGACACACACGCCCACAAACTTCTGAGCAATCACACAATACTTGGCTCATACTCCTGTGAGAAAAAGTTCGTCCCGGGCCTTCGGGTGGAATATGCAGGGTCCTTAGGTGTTTTTAAGCAAGAGAACACTGATATAAGGGCATTTTTGTGTTTGTCATTAAATTATTTGGTCCTACTTTGTAATAAGTGTCATCAACTTTTCCAGGTGATTTTGAACCAGCACATTCCTGCAGATTATCTGCTTCGAGTTTGTCAGCGGATTGGTCCGCTGATAGAAAAAGAGATCCCACTTAGTGTTCCTGGAGTCCAAACCCTCCTGGGGCTGGGTAGACAGTCTTTGCTCCGCACCACCACAAGTAAGCATTTATACACACATTTTTGTTGTTTGTTTTTGTGTACAGTCCTCACACCAACACTGTTTGTGTTACTTAGGTTGTACCCACAAAGTATGCTGTGGCTCAGCTGTTGCTGCACTCCACCGAGGACGTCCCCCCGAACCCCCAGTCAACAATGGAAATGCTCTCAACGTTGGTATGTTAAGTTTTTATTAATAGTTGCGGTGGTTGTTTGTAGTCATGGTAAAAGTAAAGCTCTGGTTTTTGTCTTGTCCTAAAATTATAATAAAACAGACACAGCCTCAAATAAATCATGAAACACTCCAGTGTGTCATCATTTATAAGACAAAAATAAAGCCAAAATACAGTAACGGTGTAAAAACACCAACCAGTAAATAAATATATATGAGCCCCAGAGCAGGAGCTTTGGCTGTTTCCTTTTCTGGAGTATTTTGATGTGTGTCAACATATCTCCATAGAGGAAAGACATAAAAACCTTAGAGAAGCCATTATCGTTGCACATCAACCTGAAAGAGGTCAGAAGTTCATTTCCTAACACTTTAAACGACATCATTGGACAATGAGAAAGATTATTTAAAAGTTGATGGCATTCTTTCAGATATGTGTTAAAATTCATGACAATCCTGTTAGAAAAGGATGTAATGATTGACTTGTTTAAGATAAGAACTTTATTGATCCCGCAGGAAATTGTTGTGCCAGGGTTTCAATACAAAGGAACATACAGATATAAAAATAACAGAGAATATAAAAATACCAACAATTAAGATCTAAAACAGGTGCAGACAGAAACATTTAAGTGTTTATTGTGGTGCAGGATTCATTTTATTGTTCTATGTGCAGAAAGGGGGAGGAGTTTAAAAGTTTCAAGGACTTCCTGTGTTGTTCTGTGGAGCACCTCGGTGGTCTCAGTCTACGACTGAAGGTGCTGCTGTAAGAGTCCAGGGTGTCATGCAGGGGGTGTGACGTGTTGTTCAGGATCTGGAGCAGTTTCCTCAGCATCCTCTGTTCAGACACGTCTGTCAAAGACTGCAGGTCCACTCCCAGACCTGAGCCAGCTCTCTTCAGGAGTTTATTGAGTCTGTTGATATCAGCTTTCTTCACCCTGCTGCCCCAGCACACCACAGTGTAGAAGAAGATGCTGGAGACCACTGAGTGGTAAAACATCTGCAGCATGGTCCTGCAGACGTTAAAAGACCTGAGTCTCCTCAGAAGAAAAAGGTCACTCTGCCCTTTCTTGTAGAGGGTGTTGGTGTTAGCTGTCCAGTCCAGTTTACTGTCTAAGTGGACCCCCAGGTACTTGTAGTAGTCCACAGTGTCCACCTTAGTCCCCTTGATGTTGATAGGGTTGGGGGGGCTAGTCTTCCTGTAGTCCACCTGCAGCTCTTTAGTTTTTCCAACATTGAGTTGCAGGTGGTTCTGTCCACCACTCCTCTGTATTCAGCTTCCTGGTCACCAGTGCTGCAGCCCACAATGTCAGAGTCATCCAGAACTTCTGCAGATGGCAGGTTTATGAGTTGTACCTGAAGTCCAAGATGTAGAGGGTGAACAGAAACGATGAGAGGAGCATTCCCTGAGGAGCCCCTGTGCTGCTCAGGATGGTGTCCGAGGTGGTGTTCTGCAGCTTCACATACTGTGGTCGACCTGGGAGGTAGTCTCTGATCCAGGTGACCAGTGCGTCATTCACCTGCATGTCCAGGAGCTACTGCAGAGCAGAGCAGGTCTTATGGTGTTAAAAGCACCAGAGAAGTCAAAGAGCATGAGTCTTACAGTGGTGCCTGCCCTGTCCAGGTGCGTGTGCAGCAGGTAGATGATGGCGTTGTCAACTCCAATGAAGACTCAACACAATCTGCTGGCTTTCTCAGATAGATAACTTTACTAATTGACCTTTTTATGTATGTGAATGTTTCTGTTCAGTGACCTGAGACAACTTCTGTTGTGACTTGGTGCTATATAAATAAACTGAATTTAGTTTTATTGAATTGAACAGTAGAGGGTCCAGGTATGGTTCCACCACTGAGCTGACGTGCTTCAGGACCACCCTCTCCAGTGACTTCATGGCATGTGATGACAAGGCCACAGGTCTGTAGTCACTGTGAGTTTGGGTGGTTGCTTTTTGTCACCGGGACCAGGCATGTTGTTTTCCACAGAGCAGGGACAACTATCATGCTCAAGCTCAGGTGGAAAATGTGCTGAAAAACATCACACAGCTGAGCTGCACATCCCTTCAGGAGTTTGGGGCTCAAACTATCCAGGCCGCAGACTTCCTCGATGTAGGCGTCGGAGCTCCATCCTTAAGGCTCCCACAGACTCGGGCAGACCTCAGTCCATGGAGGTCCGCGTGTACCGGATTAAACTCGAAGCGGACGCCCGCCCCGCAGGGCATGTCTGTGCAAAGCTCAGTTCTTACAACCGCGTACGTGTGCTTGGTGGCGCACAATAAACTGCCCGGCGATGGACTGAGAGTCTTCACCAGCATATGCAACGCAAATGTATTAAATTCCTCTTCTTCATCGCTGATCTGGTTTAATGGCCTTTAGGTTTTTTTTTTTCCCAAAAGGCAAACAATCTCTTCCTCCTCCGTTGACGCCATGACTGAAATGATGAGAAATTAATGAATTTGTCACAAGAGAAATAAAATCAGGTCCAGCGTGGCTGCGGGAGAGTCTGGAGATTTCCTGGTGGTCTGATGTGTGGGCTGTTTTTTTATTTTTCAGAACTTTTTATTAACAACATATAAACACCGAACACCGCTGCGGCTGGAACTGCCAGCTCTCGTTTTTTTTTTTTTTTTTTTTTTTTGGGGAGGGGGGGGGGGGGGGGGGGTGCGACCTGACAATCAATCCAGTAGGCGTAGCAGCAAATGACCAATAGGCGAACTCATTGTGTCCCGAAGCTAAACGCCCCTTGTCTGCAGAGCTGGTCTGCAGCCGCTCAGGGTGGACGTTCGAGTATGAAGTCTCAATCGTTTGTGGACAGTGCGCGCAGTGTCTGCGTGGACTGAGGTCTGTGGGAGCCTTTATAGCATCCCTGTTGATGGTGATTGTGTTAGGAAAGGACAATGATCATGGAGGGGGAGGGGTGTTGCGGGGAGGGGTTTAAGCTGAGCTCTGCAGTGGTGGTGATGAGGAGGGGGAAGTAGTCTAGGAGGTGTGATGACTCCTGTAAAGGTGTTGGAGGTGTGGGGGAGGGATGGGCAGTGTCCACAACATCAAGTCAGAGTCAGAGTTTCTTTGTCATTCGCACCACATGTGGTACATGTGGTGGAACAAAATTATATACACAGGGTCCCAGTTACATCCACAGTAAAATGTAAAAAGAAAAAGAGTAATAATAGCTAAGATATGAACTAAGAAAAACATTAACTAAAAATATGCTAAGCACAACCTAGCACAACCTACAACCTAAGGCTGCACAGAGGTCTGTCGAAATCAGCCTCCCCACCATCACAGACATCTACACCTCCAGATGCAGGAAGAGGGCCACCTGCATCATGAAGGACCCCACTCACCCAGCACACACACTTTTTGCCCCATTCCCCTCAGGAAGGAGGTTAAGGAGCATTAAGTGTAGAACCACTAGACTGAGGAACAGCTTCTACCCTGAGGCTGTTAGACTCATGAATCTCTAACTAGAATAATCACTGTGAAAAACCATATCATGTTGCTGCTGATCTGTTTCATGTTGCTGCTGATCTGTTTCAATGTTGATGTGTTCATGCGTGCACATCTGCTCACATGCTCATGTTCATGTTTGTGCTGATGTTCAATGTTTTATGTTATGAGTGCTTAGTGTATATTTAGTTGATGTTTTTCTTAGTTCATATCTTAGATGTTATTACTGTTTTTCTTATACATTTTATTGTTGGATGTAACTGGGACCCTGTGTACATAATTTCGCTCCACCACATGTACCACATGAGGTGCGAATGACAATAAAGAAACTCTGACTCTGACTCTATTGAAGAACAGATTGAACTTGTTGGTCTCCTCCCATCACTGCTGCAGTCTTTGTTACCTGACCATTGGTGCTTTTCATCCCATTCCACACCTCCCTGGTGTTGTTTTGAGCCAGTTTGCTCTTCATCTTTCTCCTGTACTGCTCCTTACCCTCCCCGATCTTGTCCCTCACCTCAGTCTGCACTCTCATCATCTCCTCCCTGACCCCCCTCTTAAGGCAGCCTTCTTCCTGTTCAGGGCTGCTTTAATGTCCTTGGTCACTCATGGTTTATTGTTGGAAAAGCAGCAAGCTGTTTTTGTTTGGATTATATTATCCGTGCAGCAGTTAATATAATCCATAACAATCAGTGAGTGTGTGAATGTCCTGCCCATGTGCGTCACAGAAAATGTCCCATTCAGTTACCTAAAAGCAGCCCTGGGGCTCCATAGCCTCCTGTGGCCACCTCCGTGCAGTTCTCACGATCACTGGCTGTCACTGGACTGCAGGGATGTACTGGGCTGCAGGGATGTACTGGGCTGCAGGGATGTACTGGGCTGCAGGGATGTACTGGGGCATGAGGTAAACTAGATGTGGTCTGATTTGCCCAACGGGGGGGGAGAGCCTATGTCGCTGCATGCTTCCTTCACATTAGCATACAGCAGGTCCAATGTTTTCTTTTCCCTCGTTTTACAGTCTACAAATTAGGTTGAGTCCATTGTGACATGGTTAAAATCCCCAACAATTGCAATGAAGGTATCGGATGCCGAGTCTGAAGTCCAGCGGTCGTGGACATGATGACGTCAGCAGCCCGCGACGCGTCGGCAGTTGGTGGAACGTAAACCCTGAGAATGATGGCGTGTGGAAATGCGTGTTTTGAACTGGTTGTCAACAGGAAGCAGCTCCTCTTTTTGAAAGGAAGTGGTAGCACAGTTTAACTTAGCACAGTTACATTTGATTGAGTCACTGTTTTTCTGAAACGACGTTCTGTAAAGGAACAAAACTAAAGTGGAGGCGTTTGACTAACGCACCTGGTCACAGTTTGTAAAAACCAAACACAAATGACCTCATAACAGTTGCTGAGCAGAAGGCTGATGGTTTGGCCTGAGAATTGAGCAAAGACTGTGTTTTATTTTTTTTACATAGTCCCAAATAATCTGAGCATACTATAAATGAGAAAATATTTTTTTTGTGCACTCTGTGTTCTCTGTTAATCGCTGTGTTGTCTTTGAATGAAGCGACCATCATGGGTGCTCGCCAGTCCACGGGTACGGCTCGTTTTGGCCAAGCCCTGCCGTCTTCCTCCTACCAACACATGAAGATACACAAACGTATCCTCGGCCACCTTTCTTCAGTCTACTGTGTAGCTTTTGACCGTACAGGCCGTCGGATATTTACAGTGAGTGATGTTTTGTTTGTGTTTGCATTTCAAATTTTAGCCAACATTGAGCTGCAGTCAGTGGTACATCCTGCTGGAATATCTTCTCGTCATATGTTAGGGTTCAGATGACTGCCTTGTGAAAATCTGGGCCACCGATGACGGCCGGCTCCTGTCAACACTCCGCGGCCACTCGGCAGAGATCTGCGACATGACCGTGAACTACGAGAACAGCCTCATCGCCTCAGCCAGCTGTGACAAAGTCATCAGAGTGTGGTGTCTGCGCACCTGTGCACCCATCGCCGTTCTTCAGGCCCACGCTTCCTCCATCACGTCCATACAGGTGGCTCATTCTGAAAAGAAACAACGAGTTCCTTGAAAGTCCGGCGTTGCATTCATCTTTAGTCTCCGGAAATATTTTCTAGGGTTTATCAAAACTGAAATAAGATGCTCATAAAGCTTTTTGAATTAAAATCTCTCATTTTGGCTCTTTGTCTCTCCTCTTAAGTTTTGTCCTGCATCCAAAGGGACAAAGCGATACCTCGCCTCGACGGGTGCAGACGGCATGGTGTGTTTCTGGAAGTGGCATTCCCTCAGTATGAAGTTTGAGTAAGTGTACCTCTAATGTAACTCTCAAGTGTTTCTATTTTATGAAAATAACCACAACTTGTTTTTCTTTTTCCTTTTTAAGTGATCAACCTGTCAAGTTTGTTGAGCGGTCACGGCCAGGAGTCCAAGTCTCCACTTCCTCCTTCAGTAGTGGTGAGTTTATTTACATGTTTCATTCATGTCATTGGCCTGATGTACTTTGAAATGTAACACAAATCAGCTGCACTGCATGTAGTTACTGGTTTCGCAGACAGCCCGACCAAGGCTTCAGCTCATTCAGGAGACGGGGGGCTATGACTTTTGCTTTGTCAAAATTCATACTTAAATACAAAATATTTATTATTATACTTTATTTACAAATGTTTTCCTCATAAACATATTGAGACATGTACCTTGAAAAAACATTCTCTTATAAACTTGCTTCATCATACTTGATCTATTTTTTGTGCTACTTTTAATTTTTAGCTACAGTTCTGCTGCTTTAAGCTCACTTTTTTTTTTTTTTTTAGCTTTTAACTAGCCTTTTGCTGATATTAACCTTTAGTTCAAAAAGCGTTCAATACAAAAACAACTGGACTTTATTTGTAACAGAAGACGTTTCGCTCCTCATCCAAGGAGCTTTCTCAATTCAAAGAGCAGAGAGTGAGAGATACAGGTTATAAGGCTGAGTGAGATAAGACACACACACACATAAGACACACACACACACACACATACTGTATATGTAGGTTGGCAGTTCACACCTAAAAAAACCTAAACAGTAGGTGTGTAGGTGTGTCCTTTAGGTGTGAACTGCCAATCTACATATACAGTATGTGTGTGTGTGTGTGTCTTATGTGTGTGTGTGTCTTATCTCACTCAGCCTTATAACCTGTATCTCTCACTCTCTGCTCTTTGAATTGAGAAAGCTCCTCGGATGAGGAGCGACACGTCTTCTGTTACAAATAAAGTCCAGTTGTTTTTGTATTGAACGCTTTTTGAATTCATCATGTCCTGGATGACTGAGAATCTTCACCAGCATATTAACCTTTAGCCTGCCTTTTGCTATTTTTACTGAGCCTCTTGCTAGTTGTAGCTAGGCTTTTGCTACTTTAATTTGTGCTAAATTCTAGTGCTACACTGTATAACAATATGTGCCACAGAAGCTTATAATCAACAGCGATTACATCGGCTTTATAAGATAATTTTAGTTTTAAATGGTTACATCATTAGCTTCAATTGGGGGGAGTGGTGGCGCAGAGGCTAGAGAAAGTGGGCCTGTGATTGGAAAGTTGCCAGTTCAACTCCCCGAACTGACATCATCAAAATGTGGGTGGGAAAGGTGAAGCACCCACACCTGCCTCCACCCTCATTTGCCCCACTCTGTGCCCTTGAGCAAGGCCCTTAACCCCCATCATCTGCTCCCTGGGCACCCTACTCTCTGCTCCACACTGTGTGTGGTAGCTCGGTGGTCTGTGGTTGTGTCAGGAAGGACTTCCGGCATAAAAACAATTGCCAAGTCTTCGTGTGAGTTAATTCGCTGTGGTGACCCCTGAAGAAGGGAGCAGCTGGAAAAAAAACAAACATTATTAGCTTCAATTCTTGTCGGATCACATTCACATTGAAGTAAATAAGATAAAATCTGCTTACTTGTGAAGTGAGGCACGTTTTCCTTTTCCTCTTCGATTGGTACGACCGTAGCACACACAGCTGCTTTGTGGCATATTTACATTTTTATACACACTAGATAGCTTATATATTCTAATTAGTGCTGGGCAAAAATTAAACATTTTAATCACGATAAATCACAAAATATTTTTTTTGATTAATCGTGATTATCGCGATTAATCGCGTTATTATGTACAAAATTAAATTATGACTCGAAGACTTTTAGAGCATTTTTAAGGTACTGTTTTATATTCAAAAAGTTTCAATCCATCCATCCATCCATCCATTATCTTTACCCGCTTATTCCATTTTGGGTCACGGGGGTCGCTGGTGCCCATGTCCAACAATCACTGTGCGAGGGGCGGGGTACACCCTGGACGGGTCGCAAGTCCATCACAGGGCCACATAGAGACAAACAAGACAAACAACCATTCACTCTCTCACTCACACCTAGGGACAATTTAGAGTTACCAATCAGCCTAACATGCATGTTTTTGGTCTGTGGGAGGAAACCAGAGCACCCAAAGAAAACCCACGCATGCACGGAGAGAACATGCAAACTCCACCCAGAAAAGCCCCTGGACCAGGGTTTGAACCAAGGACCTGCTCGCTGAGAGGCAGCAGCTTTGCCAGTTGCGCCACCGTGCTGCCCATCAAAAAAACATACTACATGCAAAACAAATTAACCAACATTTCTTCTTAAATTTGACGATAATTACTAATTATTGTCAAATTTCAAACAATATTATCGTTTATCGCAATAATTTCTGAGACAATCGCCCATCAAAATTAGTTATCGTGACAGGCCTATGCAATAACGCTTCGACATGCCCAGCACTAATTTTTATATTATTATTGTCATCAATAGTTTGTACAATTTTTACATAATCAGTCCTAACTGTTGGTTAAGTCCAGACGCTTGCCCCCTCTGGTTATCGCTCTCGTCCCTCCAGCGAGTCACAACATCACATGACCAATGTTCCCTCTAGTTGTCTTATTTATCTCAAATGGGTGTTAGCTTTATTTATTGTTTACTGTCGATCTCTTTTACACTTCATCTGCAGTGCACGCCTTTTGAAAGACACTCAGACTGTAGGTATCTGTCCGTTAGCAAACAATAAAATTATTCCGTGTCTAATACCATTGTCTAATAATAGTGTACTACTGAAATGTTATAATGTGTATATTGTCCATATGGAGTGATTATGATTGTGTTCAATAATGTCTAACAGGTGGTATGTTTATGGCTACTGGTGGCACGGATCACATGATCAGAGTTTATTACCTCGGTGCTGAAAGTCCTATGAAGGTCTCTGAAATGGACGCTCACACGGTGAGAAACAAACGAAGCACCATCATCGTTTTTGGTTCGCTTTGTTAAGAATAAGCTTTTTTTATTTTTTTTTAATATATCAGCTCTATAATGGTTGTTATCTTCTGTTTTAATTTTATAGGATAAAGTTCTGGTCGTCCAGTTTAGTAATAACAGTGACAGGTGAGAGACAAAAATGGTCATCAACATCTGTTTTTGTGTTGTTTACAAGTAACTGACAGTTTAACGTGTTTCCAGCCTGAGGTTTGTGAGCGGCAGCCGAGACGGAACAGTCAGGATCTGGCGACACCAGCAGCAGCAGTGGAAGAGCGTTTCTTTAGACATGACTGCAAGGCTGCCTGGGTAAGAAAGCACAATACAGTTAAGTTCATAACGAGGTCTGACAGCGCTCTAATACTTTGTGTCCTTTTGTACGATTGTGATTAGGAGTACTGTTGCTAACGGGGATGACAAAGTTAAGCTGGTGGTAACCATGGTAGCCTGGGATCACACAGATAGCACCGTCATCACGGCGGTGTCGAACTACCTGCTGAAAGTGTGGAGCGCAACATCTGGACAGCTGCTGCATGTATTGTCTGTGAGTGACTCAGACTGTTTGTATGTGTGGTTCAGTTTCTCTATGTCGTCAAAAAAAAGCTGAATGTTCACTCTGATTTTTTTTTTAATTTTAGGGACATGATGACGAGGTGTACGTGCTGGAGGCTCACCCCTTCGACCCCCGCATCATGCTGTCCGCCGGCCACGATGGCAACATTTACATCTGGGACCTGAGGAAAGGAGTCAAGATCCGCAATTTCTTTAACATGGTACTGATCCGTAGGAGTGTTTTTTTGTTTGTTTGTTTTTATTGGCATTGAGTTATTGATGGAAATTATGTTTCCAGATTGAGGGCCAGGGCCACGGTGCTATTTTTGACTGCAAGTTCTCATCTGATGGGCAGCATTTTGCCTGCACCGACTCTCACGGACATTTACTCGTTTTTGGCTTCGGCTGCAGCACACCATATGAAAAGGTAACGACGAAGAATATTCATTCATAATAATCTGATGTTTTCTCTTGTTTTGTAAAATCTGGTGAAAAAGTTAACACGGTGAGGTAATTACTGGTGGTAGGTCATTTGACCTGTCGATTTATCTCCTGTAGATTCCTGATCAGATGTTCTTCCACACGGACTACCGGCCTCTTATCCGTGACTCCAATAACTTTGTTCTGGATGAGCAGACGCAGCAGGCTACCCACCTCATGCCTCCACCCTTCCTTGTGGACGTCGATGGGAATCCCCATCCTCCTCACTACCAGCGTCTGGTCCCAGGAAGAGAGAACTGCAAGGAGGATCAGCTAATACCTCAGCTGGGATACATGGCTAACAGTAAAAACACACTATTTGTTATTCTACCCTTTGTGTCCCCCGTTGTGGAACACAGAGAGGAAATTGAAAATACCCTCCATGTGTTTGTCCGTGTTGTGAGTATGATGACTTGAAAATTAAGCAACGAGCCAAAGTCTTTTATTGGTGTGTTGCTACATTTAGGTGTAAAAAAAAAAAAAGTCACTATCAAAAATTGAGTTGCCGAGTCAAAATCCAAGATGGCCACCACCATTTATGGTGTATATATATTTATATATAAGCCGCCCCAATCATTTGAGGAAACTATGCTTTCTAGTTTTTATATTGCTTGAAAGTATTATAAATTTCATCAAATGTTTGGGGTGGGGGGGAAGATTAATTTGTGGTGGGCAAGGCAACCATTGGCCACCCTCTGGCTCCGCCGTTGCACCTGGTGGTGGATAAAATTGGTAATTTTGTTCCCCAGGATCCATCACTGCGCCGCCTCCGACAAGCAAAACACCTACCTTTGTTCTTCTCCACAGTGTACCTCCTACCCACTTGAATATCTTGCACCAAGAACATTAAGGTTTACTTGCATTCCCTGTTCAGTTCCAGTCCAGGAAAAACACTCATCTCAAAAACTGCAAACATCCATGATTCAAATCTCTCGGCAACGGAGACATGGGCTTGTTAGAATGAGTTTAACTTTGGACATCTTGACAAAGATCGACTCATGTCCCGTTTCTTTCTTTCTCTCTCAGGTGATGGAGAGTTGGTTGAGCAGGTTCTTGGCCAGCAAACAGCAGAAAATGGTGAAAGCCTGTTGGACAGTCTCATCAGACAGCTGCAGAACGAGCAGGACGAGCGTGACAATTCAGAACAACCGCCTGAAGGGGAGGCGGGTATGTTTTCACTGTCTATACAGTAAAAATGTCAACAGCCGATCCAGATTAACAAAAAGTGAGCTAAGATTTGGTGTGACAGTAGCTGAGCATCACCCCCAACTTATATTCTGAGCCGAGGTGTTTCCTTGACACTTTGACATTAACTGTATACGTCAGCCCTGTAAGCTAGTTTATGAACCACATTTGGTTGTAATTTTTAGAAAATGAATAATCAAACGTGGCTCCGTTAATAATGTTCCTGACAGCTGCAGAAGCAGAGGTGGTTCCCTCCTCTCCAGCTGTCGAGCCACGCAGAGGCGGGCAGGTGGACAGAGTCTGGCAGATGCAGCATAATTCTCTTCGCAGTCAAGTGGCCACCGAGCGGGACCTGCTGGCCTGGAGCCGCAGAGTGGTGGTTAACGAGGTGCCGCAGGGGACGTTCAGGTGAGCGAGAGGAGGGGAAACATTACCTTTTTTGCATACTTTACATTAAGCAGCTCAGATTTGTTTATATCATGTCGATTCTTTTTATATTTTTAAGAATTTTGGAGGAATGCAGACAAGCAAAAGCCGACTTGGAATGTTCTCTTTATAATGCCGAGAGGAGGAAGAAACCACATACCTTCTTCACACCTAAGGTTTGCAGTACCACTTTACAATAAGACTCCCCTTATAGACGGCTAATAAATAGTTTATATATATGTTAATTCCTTTATAAACACTTTATAAATCATTAATAATTGTTTATTATGCATTAATTAAGGGTGACAGAGACAAAACTGACCAGTTTCTAATAGCGAGCCAAATCTGTTCATCTAGAGTTATTTTAAACATTTCAGACTAAGTTACTACCTTGTAAGCACAATAAGCATTTGTAAACCTAATTTCTTTAGAATATAATATTGTACTTTATCACTGCATTATCTACAACTAATATTATATCCTAAAAAATTAGGTTTACAAATGCTTATTGTGCTTACAAGGTAGTAACTTAGTCTGAAATGTCTAATATAACAACTCTAGATGAAATATATAGGTGAACAGATTTGGTTCACTATTTGACAAGAAACTGGTCAGTTTGTCTCTGTCACCCTTAATGTATAATAAACAATTATTAATGATTTATAAAGTGTTTATAGAGGAATTAATAACATCACTATAAACTATTGTATTATCCATCTATAAGGGGAGCCTTATTGTAAAGTGGTGCTAGGTTTGCCATCTCGTCGTCCCCTTTCCACCAGTCTTATTTGTTCCACACCTGATGTTTATAGTTTCTGTCCGTGTGTCTGTAACACTCTGCAGAGCAATATTCTGGCCACCCGGCTGCGTTCCCTGCGGCCCACCAAGAAAAAGCAGCAGCGCCACACCTACCAGACCCGCTCGGCTCAGGTCCGCCGGCCCGGAACGAGGAGTCGGAATCCCAGCAACAGACGTAACTCTGAAAGCCAGGTGGACTCGGACAGCGGAGATGTATGTTGCATCTTTCTGCTCAACAAATCTGAACATGATTTATTAAAGTTTTTTATGTTTTTTTTTTTTGTGCACCATTCCAGTAATGATCACTTAGTGTTAACAGTAATTTACAGCGCTAACGTTTATGTTTGCGTTGACAGGCAGCAGAACGGGCGGAGCGGTCTGACGCCTCCTCTGACGGTGAGACTCGGTGGCAAAGTGAAAGCAGCTCCAGGTGAATAAGTTCGAAAGAGCAAAACGTTTTCCCGAACGTAGCTCGGTTCACCCAGTTGACGGCGTGCCCCTTTGATTCGCAGTGACTCGTCCAGTGAGTACTCCGATTGGACGGCTGATGCCGGGATCAACCTGCAGCCACCAAAGCGATCTACCAGGAGGCCCATCCAGCCTGCGGGTTACAGCAGCTCTGAGGAAGAAGAGGGAGGCAACGAGAACAAGGAGGCCCAGAAGAGAGAAGACGAGACGAAGAAGAAAAAATCCAAAGAGACCAAACGGGTAAGAGCTGATTAGGTTTGACTTGCTGTAGCATGACCTTCCTTTATGTAATTAAACATAACTCAATGCACCCAGAAACCCACGTCTTCTCTGGCTGGTCTTAACGCGGAGGAGTGGCAGCCACCTCCATGGATAATGGAGACCGTCCCACACCGCTCTCCTTTTGTGCCACAAATGGGAGACGAGGTAAGATCTGGAACTCTGATGTTGATCAAAATAAAGATATCACAGAAAACGTAATTTGGATCGTCTGTTCCCGTCCAGCTCATTTACTTCAAACAGGGCCATCAGGCCTATATGAGGGCTGTTCGCAGAGCCAAGGCCTACAGCATCAACCCCCAGAAGCAGCCGTGGAACAGACTCAACCTCAGGGTGAGGAGAACCAGAACCTGCTGTGCTCCACTAGAATATAAACAGTTTGGAAACTCTAGGTCGAAGTCACTGACGGGGTTCAAACTGCACTCTTTTACCTCTGCAGGACCAGGAATCTGTGAAGGTGGTTGGAATCAAATATGAAATAGGACCCCCTACCCTCTGCTGCCTAAAGCTGGCTTTTTTGGACCCAGTTTCAGGGAAAATGACCAACGAGTCCTTCTCCTTAAAGTGAGCCTTTAGAGTAGACTGACTTCATTCAGCATGTCTCTGCAAATCAAGGAACGTGTTTATCACCCCTTGATCTTTTTAAACCCCAAACTCTCAAGGTATCACGATATGCCCGACGTCATCGATTTTCTGGTCCTGCAGCAGTTTTACAACGAGGCTAAAGAGCGAAACTGGCAGCCAGGTTTGTTGGTCCCCAGCAGGGTTTTGTCATGTTCACTGTTGAGGAGCATCCTTCTGTAACACTTGATCCTCTCTGCAGGAATGAGGTTTCGCAGCATTATTGATGACGCCTGGTGGTTCGGATCCGTGGAGGATCAGGAGCCCCTGCAGCCAGAGTACCCAGACAGCCTCTTTCAGTGCTACGCAGTAAAGTACGTCCATAAACGCAGCTGCCGCTTCAACACCCATGTTCCTGTTTGTTTATCTAATGTTACATTCTGTTCTTTTTTTTTTTTTTTGTATTTTCTTTATCAGGTGGGATAACGGTGAGCGGGAAAAAATGAGTCCATGGGACATGGAGCCTATTCCAGAGGAAGGTCAGTAAGAAAAAATGCTTTATCGTATTTTCTGCCGTATGCGTCGCTCCGCCATATAAGTCGCATAGGTCCATATTTGTCTAATAAAGTGGAAAAATCCATAAATATGTTGCTTCACTGTATACAGTGCCTTACGAAAGTATTCGGCCTCCTTGAACTTTTCAACCTTTTGCCACATTTCAGGCTTCAAACTTAAAAGATATACAATTTTAATTTTTTGTGAAGAATCAACAAGTGGGACACAATCGTGAAGTGGAATGAAATTTATTGGATGTGTCAAACTTTTTTAACAAATAAAAAACTGAAAAGTGGGGCATGGATTATTATTTGGCCCCTTTACTTTCAGTGCAGCAAACTCAGTCCAGAAGTTCAGTGAGGATCTATGAATGATCCAATGTTGTCCCAAATGACTGATGATGATAAATAGAATCCACCTGTGTGTAATCAAGTCTCCGTATAAATGCACCTGCTCTGTGATAGTCTCAGGGTTCTGTTCAAAGCACAGAGAGCATCATGAAGACCAAGGAACACACCAGGCAGGTCAGAGATGCTGTTGTGGAGAAGTTTAAAGTCGGATTTGGATATAAAAAGATTTCCCAAGCTTTAAACATCCCAAGGAGCACTGTGCAAGCAATCATATTGAAATGGAAGGAGGATCAGACCACTGCAAATCTACCAAGACCCGGCCGTCCCTCTAAACTTTCACCTCGAACAAGGAGAAGACTGATCAGAGATGCAGCCAAGAGGCCCATGATCGCTCTGGATGAACTGCAGAGATCTACAGCTGAGGTGGGAGAGTCTGTCCATAGGACAACAATCAGTCGTACACTGGCCTTTATGGAAGAGTGGCAAGAAGAAAGCCATTTCTCAAAGATATCCATAAAAAGTGTTGTTTAAAGTTTCCACAAGCACCTGGGAGACACCAAACATGTGGAAGAAGGTGCTCTGGTCAGATGAAGCCAAAATCCAACTGTTTGGCCACAATGCAAAACGATATGTTTGGTGTAAAAGCAACACAGCTCATCACCCTGAACACACCATCCCCACTGTCAAACATGGTGGTGGCAGCATCATGGTTTGGGCCTGCTTTTTGTCAGCAGGGACAGGTAAGATGGTCAGAATTGATGGAAAGATGGATGGGGCCAAATACAGGACCATTCTGGAAGAAAACCTGTTTGAGTCTGCAAGAGACCTGAGACTGGGACGGAGATTTATCTTCCAACAAGACAATGATCCAAAACATAAAGCCACATCTACAATGGAATGGTTCACAAATAAACGTATCCAGGTGTTGGAATGGCCAAGTCAAAGTCCAGACCTGAATCCAATCGAGAATCTGTGGAAAGAGCTGAAGACTGCTGTTCACAAACGCTCTCCATCCAACCTCACTGAGCTCGAGATGTTTTGCAGGAAAAATGGTCAAGAATTTCAGTGTCTCCATGTTCAACACTGATAGAGACAAACCCCAAGAGACTTGCAGCTGGAACTGCAGCAAAAGGCGGCGCTACAAAGTATTAACGCAAGGGGGACGAATAATATTGCACACCCCACTTTTCAGTTTTTTATTTGTTCAAAAAGTTTGACACATCCAATAAATTTCATTCCACTTCACGATTGTGTCCCACTTGTTGATTCTTCACAAAAAATTTAAATGTTATATATTTATGTTTGAAGCCTGAAATGTGGCAAAAGGTTGAAAAGTTCAAGGGGGACGAATACTTTCACAAGGCACTGTACGTCACATCTATTATGTGTCACCGCTGATGACCTGGAAATGTGGATCGGTGTTGTGCCAAAAACCGATGGGCCACCAAATGGCAACTGCAGGAGCGTGCACGGGAGGACTTTAACAAGAATTTAACTAGATTAACACTTAAAAACAATTATTTGTTTGCTCGAAATTATATGAAATTGTGTATCAATCTAACGTTTGCTTAATAAATGTACTTTAGTGGTCAAATCAGATTTTTAAAAAATTGTTTGCTGCCTTGGTACTCCATGACGCGCAGAGGAAGAGAATAGGAAGGAGGAACACGGCTCGTTTGTCCAAAAATTAACAAGAACTGCACCTAAACAATTGTTTGGTTGCTCGGAATTATAGCAAAGGTGTGTGTCAGTCTAACATTTGCTTAATAAATGTACTTTAATGGTCAAATTAGCTGCATTTCACCGGGGCAGTGCAGCTGGATTGACGGTCGGTCCAAACAGCAAGCAGAACCAAGGTGGGGAGCCTGTGGCAAGCTAATTAAGTCATTAAAAGCTGGTGAAGATTCTCAATCATCCGGGACATGGTAAATTCAAAAAAGTTCAAGAAAAATACAATAAAGTAAAGTATAATAAATAAAGTCCAGTTGTTTTTGTCTTGAACTTTTTTGAATTTGTCATTATAGCCACGTTTACCGATTACATGATACAACAGCCAACAGCATGCCATACAACTATTACTACTCTTCTGCCATCAAGTGGCTGAAAGTGGTACTGCTCCTTTTTTCCAGTCAGAATGAATAGAAACGATCATATTTCAGCCAAAAAATGGTTTATAAATATGGGAAAAAAATCCATAAATATGTCGCTTCGGCCTATAAGTTGCAGGGCATGTAAATTATGCAAAAAATTGTGACTTATACAAAGAAAAATACAGTAAAATCAGCTGCTTTTAGGCTCGAATGCTTCTGCTGTTTTCACAGAATGAGTGTCTTAAAAAATAAGAAAGAAGATGGTTATTTTTGTCTAACGTTGGTTCCATCCACCTTCCATCCATCTTTACCTGCTTCTTCCTTTTCGGGTCACAGGGGTCACTGGTGCCCATATTCAGCAGTCACTGAATGAGTGGCGGGGTGCACCCTGGACAGGTCTCCAGTTCATCACAGAGACACAGAGAGACAAACAACCATTCACTCTCTCACTCACACCTAGGGACAATTTAGAGTTACCAATCAGCCTAACATACATGTTTTTGGTCTGTGGGAGGAAACTTGAGAAAACCCACGCATGCACGAAGAGAACATGCAAACTCCACCCAGAATGGCCCCTGGCCATGATTCAATGTGGCAACCTTTTTGCTGAGAGTCTGCAGCTCTACCAACTGCGCCACTGTGCTGCCCCAGTGTTCCCCCCACCATTACACAAGCAGGGAGCCCCGCCCCATCAACAGAGCCAAGCACCCTGCCTACTGAACTTCCCCCATCAACAACCGTCAGTATTGATGTAGCGCTGGGTGCAAGACAAAGCAAAAATGCTACTGACCTACCACTCTGCTGTGCTCCCCCCCCCCAAAAAAAAAATTTGACAATTATTGGCAACAACACAGCGCTAAACACAGATGTGACACACAACCCCGGTCGACAAAAACTGTCAGCAACGTAGCGCTAAGCTAAGACAGGTACGACAAGCGTTGACAAAAAAGAAAGTACGAGCGCACTGCCAAGGGAACTGATCCAGTAGAAATACTACCTAATGTTGGTTTCAGGTTTTATTACACCAACAAAGTCGGATATTGTTTTCTTTTGCGTGTCCACTTCTCTGTCGACACCTCCAGTTTCTAAGGGATGGTTTATTAAACAATGCAAAATCTACATAGTTTTTGAAAAATTGTCCACCTGCCGGTAGTTTTCTACATCAAAGCTGTGGCACATTTAACAAAACTCTAAATGATGTCTCACGATGATTCATGTCTTTTCTTTCAAATTTATTTATTTTACAAAAAGATTAGTGCTTTATTTTTGTTGTGTGAAGCAGTTCACAAGTTACCACTGAAAATAGATTAATACAACAATAATAATAATAATATTAAGCTCTATTGTCATTTTATTTTAACAAAGCTAAATTCTAACAATTTAAATTTTCTTTATCATTTTAAAACATTTAGCTGATATAGAATATAATATAATAAAATATAAACTACACAGGTGTACTTTGATGATTAGGTTTGACAAATTATGCTCTTTTTTTGCTTTATTATATCAAATAAATAAATATGCTGCTTATTTCTTTGTTCAAGTTATTTGGTGTGACTTAAGCTATGTTCACACTGCAGCCCAAATCTGATTTTTATTAATTAATAGTTTTTTTGATCCTATATTACCCATATCAGATTTTGAGGTCGCATTTTAATGAAAATGTGAACGACCTCGCAAAAAAAAAAAAAAAAATCTGAGCAAAATATCAGATTTGAGCATTAAGACCTGCAGTAAGTTTCTAACAGATGTTGGGATTCCTCTCAGCTGCTCTGCCAGAACACGTTGGTGATGGCGTGGACGTGACCGAGGAGGAGCTCACAGCTCTGCTCTACAGGCCTCAGGAGGGAGAGTGGGGGGCTCACACACGAGATGAAGACTGTGAAAGAGTTATCCTCGGCATCGATCAGCTCCTCACACTCGGTAAGCTCCTCAAAGGGCTAACCCATACGAGGCCGTTCCATGTTTCCCTCGTCTGCTACGACTCGTGTTTCTCTGCAGATGTGGCCAAGCCGTTTGCCTCCCCGGTGAACCTCCAGGAGTACCCCCTGTACTGCACCGCCGTGGCCTACCCCACTGACCTCAGCACCATCCACAAACGTCTGGAGAATCGCTTTTACAGGTGAAGCAACACGTTTTCTCCTATATGAAAACAAACTCCTGATGCACCCCTACCTGTCGTATGAGCCGACGTGTTTTCCTGCTGCAGGCGGATCTCTGCATTAATGTGGGAGGTGCGTTACATCGAACACAATGCTCGCACTTTCAACGAGCCCCAAAGCCCAATTGTAGCAGCTGCCAAGGTGGTCACTGACGTTCTTCTCCACTTCATTGGGTAAGCCTACACTCTGTTAAGTTTTAAACCGCCTCCTTGATGCTGATTATGTCTGGTTTTCACGACTTGCTGTTTCCATCAGAGACCAGAGCTGCACCGACATCCTGGACCTGTATCAGAAGCTGAAGTCTGAGGTCAGCAGTGGAGGAGAGGCTGAGGTCAGAGCTCCATCGTGTCAAGTTTATTTATTATAATAGGGACTTTTTTTTTTTACATTTGAGTACCGTATTTGCCACCATACATGTCGCACCACCGTACACGTCGCTTCGCTGTATAAGTCACATCTATTATGCGTCACCGCCGATGCATCATGTTTGTTATGCATCACTGCTGACCACCCAAAAATGTGGGGTGGTGTTGTGCCAAAAATCGATTGGCTGCCAAATAGCGGCCGCGAGAGCGTGCACGGGAGGATTTTAACAAGAATTTAACAAGATTAACACTTCAAAACAATTGTTTTTTTGCTTGACATTATAGCCAAGGTGTGTCTCAGTTTAACTTTTCCTTAATAAACGCACTTTAATGGTCAAATCAGCTGCATTTCGCCTGAGCAGCGCGGTGAAATGCAGCTTTTTTGACGTTTGCTCCAGGAGTTCCGGAGCAAGACTTGTAGCCACTTTTACCTATTAATGAGACACTTGGTTTGCCATATTGCTCGACCGCCCTCTAGTGGCTGAAAATGGTAGTGTTCAATATTTTCCAGAATGAATGAAATCGTCAGATCTCAGCCAAAAATTGGGTTATAAATATGGGGGGGCGGGGGGGGTGAACATAAATAAGTCGCTTCGCTGTTTAAGTCTAAGGGCATGCTAATTTATGCAAAAAGGTGCAACTTATACAGCAAAAAATACGGTATTCCTTTTGTTGTCCCCCATTGTGGAGCAAGATCGGGAATTGGACATACCATCCATCCATCCGTGCATGATGTAAGCATGATACCTTGACAGATAATTGAGGTACTGACTTGTCTTTTTGGTGTGTGACTGCATCTAAAACTCTAAACTAAAACTTGGTTGCCACGTCAAAATTCAACAAGGCCATCTCCATATATATATATATATATATATATATATATATATATATATATATATATGGATGTGTTTGTGTATATGTTAACCTCGTGACCTGGAAACGGGCCAACTTCCTTTTTGATTTGTGGCTGCATCTAAGACAAAGAAAAGTTTCTTTCAAAAATTGGGTTACCACGTCAAAATTCAACATGGCCACCATTATATACTAGTTTATGTAAAGAAGACACCCCAACCATTTGAGAAAACTAGGCTTTCTATTTTTACATTTCTTAAAAGTATAGAATTCTCAAATGATTGGAGTGTCCGTAGAATAATCTATACCATCGGCCACCCCCTGGCTCCGTCATTGCACCTGGTCGTGGATAGAATTTCTCCCTGCACTCCAGGATCTGTCAGTCTGAGCCGCCTCGGACAAGAAAAGAAAAACTACTCTTTTTCTCCACAGTGGAACTCCTTCTCACTTGAATATCTTGCACCAAAAACATAAAGGTTTATTTGCATTCTCTGTTCAATTCCAGTCCAGATAAACACTCATCTGGAAAACTACAAACATTCACTATTCAAATCCTTCAGCGATGGGGGACATAGGTGCGCCGCTTGTTTTGACTTTGTGTTCCTCTGCAGATTGACATAGATGTGGACTCTGACACTCCGGGGACATCATCAGGACATCGGGTAAAAAAACAAATCTGCAGCAGTTTAATGATGATTTAACATCAGTAGCTGTTGTTCCGGTCTTGATGAGGTTTTGATTTCTCTCTGACAGGGGACCAACTCTAAGTCGAAGAAGCGAGATGTGGCTTTGGACTCAAAAGCTTGGCAGGGTCAGTGTCGAGAGCTGCTGCGTCGGATGTTCACCTCCCCAGATTCTGTACCATTCAGACGGCCCGTGGATCTGTTTGAGTATCCGGTAAAACAATCTGAAGATCTGTTGAAACCATAAAACCACTGCAACAAGAACTTTGAGGTGTGCCATAAATGGGGTTAGAAAAACATTTCTTTGTTGGCGTTGTCAGGACTATCGGGACATCATTGACACTCCCATGGATCTGGGCACCGTGTCTGAGACTCTTGCGGCAGGGAACTACGAAAACCCGATGGAGTTCGCCAAAGATGTCCGCCTCATTTTCAGCAACTCCAGAGCTTACACGCCAAACAAGAAATCACAGGTAGGGCCACTTTCCTTAGGTGAAACACTCTGTTCAAGTCTGGAAAGTCGGATAAGGTTGTATCTGTTCCTCGATGATATTTTTTGTTTCTCCAGATCTACTCGATGACTCTCAGCTTGTCGGCCTTCTTCGAAAAGCATATCATCTTCTTAATCGCAGACCACAAATCTGCTGTTCAGAACGAACGACGGTCTCATCAGAGACTTACCTACAGGAACAGATTGCACAACGGGGGCAGCTCCCCACCAAATAGTCCATTACCCAGGTACTGAGCAACATTTTCAGCTCCGTTGCCAAAATACCTCCTTTTAGTTTCAGCTAAACTTAACCACTTAAAAAATACCAGAAGTATGTTTATTATACGTCAGTCGAAAGATGGACATATGGTTATAGTCTCTATCCTTATAGTCTGTAAACTTTCTCTTGTCTGGGCCATAACTACTGATCCACTCAAGATAGTTTAACAAAACCTTGTATACTTTTGTACCTCCACTGGTCAGGGTGTCACATAATTTTGTCATCATCCCAACTTCAAAGTCAAGGTCACAAACGGCATATTATATTCAAATATATGTATATAATATGAAATATTGCTCTTTTTTTTATTTCAAGGTCCAGTTCTAGAAGGAAGCACAATTTAAGGAAGCTCAAAAAATCCCAGACCTCAATGAAGAGACGTTCTCAGAGAACATGTCGAGGTACGGCTGCTCTGCTGTTCATTGTGTTTTATGTCTTTGTAGTTTCTTTGTTTTTGTTTAGTGTAGACGTAGTTCTGGGGAATTATAGTGTTGTATCTTCAGCTCAGCAGAGCAACAGTGTAGCAGAAGAAGATGAAACCCCACCTTCTTCACCCAGTTCAGAGGACGACAAGGAGGGGAGCAATGAAGAGCCCCATCCGGTGCCCCGCAGCCAAGGAAGTGCTGTGAAAAAATCAGGTATGCCAACAACGACTTGGACTTCTGATGTGAAACTGAAGTTATGGAACAGTCATCCATTGTTTGTGTTTACATCAGGTGTGTTAATGATTGTGTGTTTGTGTTTACATCAGGTGTGTTTATGATTGTGTGTTTGTGTTTACATCAGGTGTGTTTATGATTGTGTGTTTGTGTTTACATCAGGTGTGTTTATGATTGTGTTTGTGTTTACATCAGGTGTGTTTATGATTGTGTTTGTGTTTACATCAGGTGTGTTTATGATTGTGTGTTTGTGTTTACATCAGGTGTGTTTGATTGTGTGTTTGTGTTTACATCAGGTGTGTTTATGATTGTGTTTGTGTTTACATCCGGTGTGTTTATGATTGTGTGTTTGTGTGTACATCAGGCCACCGTCGTAGCTTACATCTCAGTACCGGCTCCAGACAGCAGCTCGTGAAAGAAACGCTGCAGTCCTACGATGACCAGGAGGCGTCTGGTTCCAACAGCTCCTCTTCGGAGTCTTCCACTTCATCATCGAGTTCTTCCTCCTCTTCGTCGGACAGCGGGAGCAGTTCTGATTCGGAGGCGGAGGAGTACGTGGAGGGGGGAGACCACGACTACAGCAAAGCTCCCTGTTTGAAGATGCACCACTCGATGAAGGAAACGATGGCGGCCTTAGGAAAGAGGACGCACACAGGAGGACAGGAGGTGGCGCAGAGCCCTAAAAAAGCTCGACTGCAGCAGCCGTTGAAGAAAGAGGAGGAGTCAGAGGAGGAGGAGGAGTCAGAGGAGGAGGAGTCAGAGGAGGAGGAGGAAGAGGAGCCACAGCAACAGGTGAATGTAAGACAAGTAACGGAAGAGGAAGATGACGAGGAAGAGGAGGATGAAGAGGAGCCCGAGGAGGAGGAGCCGGAGCCGGAGCCTGAGGAAGAGGTCCAGGCGAGGCCAGCAGCAGCTTGCAGTCCGAGAGGAAACCGGTGCAAACCTGGACGCGTCAACACGCGAAACCAGGGCCGCAGGACAGTCGTGTACCAGGACGAGTCGGAAGAGGACGGGTCGAAGGACGACCCCCTCAACCTGGGCATGTCCCGCTCAGGGCGGGTCCGACGTATGACCGAGAAGGCCCGCGTCAGCCACCTCATGGGCTGGGGTCACTGACATGCCCACCACCCACCCCACCCCTCAGACCTCAATTAAAAAACTTTTAAACATGACATCAGGGATTTTTATTTTCTCCTTTTTTGTACAAGTGTGTATATAAAATATATAAATATATGATTCTCTTTATTCAAGACTGCTAATAAAACCTCAAGCTGGTGCTCAGAAACTGTTGCCACGGATGTTTCCTCGCTGGTGGACCCCTCCCCCCCCCCACCCCCCACTCCAGCAGAACTAACTCACGTCGGGCCTTACTGCGCACCGGAGGGTCCGGTTCGACCCGGCACTGCTCCTCCTCGTCTCCAGCCTCTCACTATCAAAACACTAAACTCCCTCTGCTTCGCTTCGCTCAGCCGTCGCCAAAGAAGGAAGCCAAAAACGACACGGTGCTCACGTTGTTGCTGCGACCACTTAAACTTGTAAGGGTGTCGAACTCGGTTACCAAAAGGAGCCAAACTTTAAAAACTTTGTCCGAGCCACGGGCCACTTTCAGCTGATACATTAACCCGATATCTTTTCTTGGTTGCAGGTTCAAGAACAAGAGTTTGATCTGTCTCACTTGTTGCTCTTTCCACATCAGAATCAATTAATGATAGAATGACCCAGCCTTTTTTCTGTCTTCAAAGTTAGCCAGCTGGCAAGAGAAGTCTACACTAAATGATTTATTTATCTTTTTTTTTTTTTTTTTGAAAAATTAAAACATTCAATATTTTACATTTAACTTATCTTGGAGGACCAGATTTGGCCCGCGGCTCTTGAGTTTGACATACGTGATTGGCGGTTGTTCCAGTCCGACGCCAACCTTTTGGGTCTCGCCCAAAAATCGGATTATAGATTTTTTTTTATTTACTGCTCATTATTAGAAGCAATACCAGTTGAAAACAAAACCATAGTAACATTTCTGACATCCTCCGCATACGAATGTTAAATGTTTTTTCCAGAGCATCACATTTTTTTTTATCTTTTAATTGAGTGAAACTTTTTTTTTTGCGTTTGTGACAAACCACTTCACCCCTGTGGTATTGGTACTAAATCTGAATCTATTTATAGTTGCTTCCTCTTACTCTGAACAAAAACAAAAAGGTCCCACTTTGGCAACTCTTCCACATGAATATTTATTTTGTTGTGTTTTTCTTGTTTATATGACGAGGAACGGATATTTGCACATTTATCTACTCCACGTGGCAGCTGATGATTTTTGTCGAAGACTTTTGAACTGTGCCATTTTTTTTTATATATAGTTGAACGTTTTTTTTTGGTCCATATTTTCTGCTCTGTCTTCTCCGTGTGTTTAAAACCATCAACGGACTGATGCGTTTCTCTCACAGGTGGATCAGCTGCACCCAGCAGGATTTATTTTTTTTTTTTTTTGGAATCACTGCGTTCTATAACTTAAAAAAAAAAAAAAAGTGATTTAATGTGCCATTGAAAATCAAAGTCTTTTCATTCTTATTTTTTTAAGCCTGTTATGTTTTTTATGATGTTTACAAAAAAAAAAAAAACGTGCTGTCGTGCGAACGCTCGTGACGCAGATGATCGGAGAGGATGACTCACGTTCTGATTTCAGCTGCTTGAATCCAAACGTCTCGATTTTCAGGATGTGGTTTTAGCGTGACAGAATTTCTATTTTCTTTTAATTTTTTTGAATGAGGTTGTTGGGTATAAAACGCAAACTGGCGTCCAGGTGTTCTCTCGCAGCATTAACTGGTTTCTCTGGATTATTATGGTTGAGTGTGAGACAATTTAATCTGATGTTGGGAGTCTTTTCAGAAAGCGGAGGCAAAGATTAGATGTTAACATTCTGCTGTAAGTGTGAAACACATGCAGTGACTTTTATATAAAATGTTTTGATTGTATTGTTTTGTTTTTTAATAAAAAGGACTTTCTTGACAACAAACACATCCCTATTTGAGTTTAGATGTTCTTCCGTGTGAATAAAATCTCAAGGAGCTGTTCAGCAGCGCTGGGATTGAGTCATCCATCTGTTTTTCATATGGAGTGCTGCGCGTCGACTGAAGGCAGACATTTTCTAGAACAGTGAAAACACCAGCTCTGTCAATTTACTGTAATGGACGCACAAACTTAAATGGACTCTGCAGCAGCTTGAATGCACTGAAAGCTGGGCTGAGTCAGACCAGGGACAAACAGGTTTAATCTGTGACGCACTGCTCCACCACACCTAGAATCACAGCTACTGGAAAATCACCCCTTAATGAAGAAACTTTTTGTTTATGTCACGAGGGAGCTAAGAAGGCCAGTGTGGGCATTATGATCAAAAGGTCACCTTCAGTTGAATTTTGAAGCATTCTGGTCGTAATAATTTAAAATGCAAATGTGATTGAGTGACTAATGTGATTGAGTTATCACTTATTGTTCAACATCTGGGTTTAAGTATGCAGCAAAGCGGGTGTGATGCTGCCCACGTGGAGTTGGATGTAAGCAAAACAATTGATGCAACTAGAAAAGTGCTTTGTTTCCATTTCACGTCTCCAGCTCGTCCAGACTGCTGCAGCGCGGCTCTTAACTGGAACTTGTAGGTTTGATCACATTTCACCAGTTTTATCCTTCCTTCACTGGCTCCCTGTTGGTACCAGAATGTACTTTTACTTTTCTCCTGTTGACCTTTTAAGTGCCTTAATGGCCTCGCACCCCTTTTTCTGAGCTTCTGGAACCATGCGTTCCTTCTCAAGCCCTGAGATCATCCGATCGGCCGCTTTTGGCTGTTCCAAAAACAAGATTGAAGTTCAGAGGAGATCGAGCATTTTCAGTCATGGGCGCCAAACTTTGGAACAATCTGCCCCCCAACATTAGGCTGTGTTCATATCTCTGCTAAAAGCATGGTCTTCTCTGGCATTTCACACGGTGTTAGTTGTATGTTTTTTCTTTAATGTGTTTAATTTTTCAGTACTCTCATTAATTTTATTTTTCTATTAATTTACTCTGTGTTATTAAGCACTTTGGTAACAGCTGCAGTTTTAAATGTACTTTATAAATAAAGTTGACTTGACTATGTTCATACCAAAACTTAATGACCCTTAAAGAAATAGTTCAGGTTTCTTAAAGTCGTTTATTGCAACAACCAAAAAAAAGTAATAAACAGTATCTTACCTGTTGTAGATGACTTTTTTGAACAACCACCGTTTGGAGAAACTGACTATTTCTGACCAGACTGACGAGCTAACGACTGGTCTGAGCAAGATCAAGACCTGAATCAATTGCTTCCATTAAAAAACACCTAATAAATTTAAAAAAATAACAATTTTAGAAGCTAATTTAATATTGCCAAGTAAAGAGCCTTCCTTCAAAAATGTCGTGCCGCTGTGACAGAATGTTATTAGCTGATAAATATTCTGTCTGTTTCGCGTGTGTTGTCAGGCTAGCCTCGGCACGGCTACAGTCGTGCATCAACAGACGATGTTTGCTTTAGAAAACGGTGACAAAATGAACAAATGGTCTAATACAGCATTATTTCACATTAGAATGACATTTTTGAGACGGAATTGTTTTTATGTCTAAAAAAAAAAAACACGATTAAAGTCCCCAGCTAGCCTAACGGCTAGCCCGACAAATGATTAGCCTGACTCCTGTAGGACTTCTTCCATTTTCAACATACTTTGTTCCATTACTGACAGGTGCTAGCACCAATTAAAAATGGCTAAACTTGTCTTAAACTTGCCAAAAGTAGCTTTAACATCAGAATGGATGAGCGTTTATCATTTGAAGTTTTATCTTTTCATGCTAATGAGAAACAAGGATTAAAATCTCAGACACTGCAAACAGCAAGCTTTGTTACATTTATTGTCACATTAACTACATCATGACCAGCAAGATACCATAGCACACGTATTTCTGCTTCTTTTACTACCATGACAGCTTCGTGACGATACAACAAACCTTAAAGAGAAGTACATCCACTGTGAAGCTATGCTGGGGGACAGACGCACGCAGTATTATAATTTTATTGTGTACTCGAACAATCACAAGCATGTCAAACACCTTCATGACTCGACAACATCTAAGTTCATTCACATTGTGCTTCGGTTCTCACATGTCCTGATGCTTCGGTCTTAAACAACGCTCATGTACTGTGAACAACAGCACAGGGACAGAGACATAACCTGTGTTAATATATTAAATTAATTAAATACGCAGTAACATTTTGCACACAATGGCAGGCACAAACCCCACACGATGTTTACTTCATTGAATATAGGAAACACTGTTTATTTAGTCTGGACGTTAGATACATTCAACATGCTCTCTGCATTTTAAGCAAGGACTCTGGTTCAAATTCATCTTATAAATTAAAAGCTGAACCTCTGATTTGTACTTCCACAAAGTGACAAATAGTTTATGTTTTTCCACACGAAAAATTGTAAAGTTGTTTATTTTAAACTGTCAAAATCCAGGTAAACTCCATCCATCCATCCATTTTCTTTACCCGCTTATTCCATTTCGGGTCACGGGGGTCGCTGGTGCCCATGTCCAGCAATCACTGTGCGAGGGGCAGGGTACACCCTGGACGGGTCGCAAGTCCATCACAGGGCCACATAGAGACAAACGAGACAAACAACCATTCACACCTAGGGACAATTTAGAGTTACCAATCAGCCTAACATGCATGTTTTTGGTCTGTGGGAGGAAACCAGAGTACCCGGAGAAAACCCACGCATGCACGGAGAGAACATGCAAATTCCACCCAGAAAGGCCCCTGGACCGGGGTTTGAACCAGGGACCTGCTCGCTGAGAGGCAGCAGCTCTACCAGTTGCGCCACCGTGCTGCCCCAGGTAAACTCATTTATATTAATTTTTTTTGTTCTTAATTACAGATTAGTTTTTTTTCTTAAATTTTAAGAAAATTTAACTTAAATTACCTCCTATACACTTTTTAAAATTTTAACAGATGTTTTTTTTGTTGTTGTTGTTTTTGATGCATTACATTAAATTGAGCACATCTTATCTGGGGATGGAAAAAATCTTCTTGAAACTGTCGATATGTTTTATCATTTATTATGTCTTTTCATTTATCATGATGTGTGTGGAAGACTCTATGGGATTTATTTATTTTGAGGTTTTGCTGAAATATTTGCATACAAAAGTCACAATTTAAGTTGTTATTGCTGATGTTTGAAAGAAGACTGTTACTCTAGAGAACAGAAACCGTGTCCAGCTGTTTGCTGAGTTTGTTCCGAGTCCTTATGAAAATACTTTTTTTCTGTTTTGGAAAAAAATAAAGACAACTACCAGTATAGATCACAAGAACGACTACTAGGGGTATTTGGAAATGCATTAAGTTATGTCAAAATGGTCCTTTTTAGCCCACACTCACAGCTTTTTTTCTAACATTAGACAATTACAAGAAAACTGTTTTTGAAAGTTGTGTAAATGTAAAGTTTGTCAGGAATAAGTTTTATGAACCTACCTAAATGCTATCATTGGTATAATTATTCTTATTCACCCACTAATACAGTTGTTTTAAACCTTGGATTCCTTTGAAATGAGGCGTTCACGTTCACAGATACATTATTTACCACATTATGGAAGTACAACCATCTATCTATTCCGACGTTAACTGGTGTTGAATTTTCAACAGGTCACATGTTGAACTTTACCCTACAGAGACGACTGGTTCACAAAAACATCAATGGGATTCTAATCACGACCCAAACTTCATTCAAACCAATGCTTTTCTAGCCAACAGGTATTTGACAGATTATAATTACAGAAGTTTTGCCGTAAAGACTTGAACACATCACAGTCTCCTCAACTCAGGTGGGCGATCAGTACGGAACCCTCCAAAACTGACCGGCCGCTCAGAAAGAGCCTCAACCCTGTTCCAGTTGGTTTCCTTTGGGTTTCTTTTCTTGTGGTCACATTGAAAGGGTGCGTGTTGGCCTCCAGGTGCCTCTCAGTGCTGACCTCTTGATTTCTTTGACGTTAGACGCAGGAGGGGGTTAAAAACATGAGCACAGCGCCCCGTGGTTGCCTGGTTGTTGATAAAACTTCCATTCGTGCCTCTGTTTGCAGAGCACCATGCTGAAAGCAGGCTGCATGCCTTCGCGGGAACATGTCAGCTACACAAGTCCAGTCTGCATGTGGACGTGTAGAGGGTAGGGGTGGTAGACGAGTGGGGGCTGGGCCTGAGGGATGAAGTAGCTGTTGTAAATGGGCTCTGTCATGTACGGCGCCGGCTGATAGAAGCAAGTGACGTTTGCCGTGTTGGGGATGGCATTCTGTTCGCCCAGTACCCTCAAAGCCAGGACGGTGATCATGTTGAGCGTCTGCCTCCTCTCGTGCCCCATCAAACACACCGTGCTTTCGTCTATCACCCGCCGCAGGGTCATCAGGTAGTCATACTTGCTCGCCTCCTCGCTGCCAACGAAGTGGCACTGCAAGTAAGCCTTGATCTTTCGCTGCTGCTCGCTCACGTCAGGGAAGTCGATGAAGAAGCGGGAGCACATGTAACGCTCCAAAGACTTGATCTTGGTCTCGCTGGCTGGCCTGAAGTTCCTCACCAGCAAGTCGCTGTATTTTAGCAGCCCCCCTCCGCGGATCTCCTCTGGGTTGTTGGTGGCGATTAGGCGGTGGCGAAGATGGTCCATCGCCTGGTCAAAGTCTCCATACATGCACTTGGCTTCGACGGCAATGATGGGTTCCCCTTCAGCCGTGATCCATGAGCACATTGAGACGGCGTCTGCAGGCTCAGAACCGAAGTTTCCTACAGGCGTGTTTGTTGCACATGTTTGGTTTTGAGCCTCTAAATCAGGTGGCTTCTTCGAATGTTTTGGCTTCACCGTTTGTTCTGTACTTGGGCCTTCCTGAGGTGCCCTGGCTGGACTGAAAGTGGAAACAGTAGGGGCACCACTACCTTCAAATGGTTCTGATTTTGAGCATGGAACATCTGAGCCACAAACTTGCGTACCATCCTGCGTGGGATGAGTTGGCTGGACAGGTTTCAGTATTTCTATGGGTACGAAGAGCTGTGTAGTGATGTCAGATACATCAGTAAGCAGGGACCATTTTTCAGGCTTGCTGATCAACTTCCGAGACATTTTTCTCTGTAATTTGGGCGAAGGGTAGTACTCCGGTACAATGTCTTGTGCCGGAGTACTGCAAGTACTGCGGTCTGTGCTGCAAGTCTTTTTAGCTGGGGGAGGAAAGGAGAATTCTGAGTGTGAAACTTGGATGACTGGGGTATTTTCAGTCCTGCTGTCATCTACTTCTAACTGTGTACTCTTTTCACAAATGGTTACCTCCTGTGAAGTTGATGTTTCAGCAGTGGTTACAGACACCAATTCACGTAGTTCCTCCTTTGTTTGGAGATTTAAACAATCATGTGTCATCGTTGGATCCACGTCATCTTTAAAGAAAGTGTTTGGGGATGCCGCTAAGGGATAATCACAATTAAATGATTCCTTTTGTTGCTCGCTTTCTTCACAAAGTTCAAACACTTCTGATATGTCCTCTGAAGGAACATCTTCGATATCATCCGCATCTTCCACCTGCTGTAAGGCATTTATCTCAGGTTCAGACACCTGCTGTGCCATGTGCTTTTCATCTTCCTCTTCATGAAGGTCTCCAGCAAATGCAGCACCAGCTTCATCCAGATGTGGAGTATCTGTTCTGGTTGTTGAATCTTTTTCCTCTTTGTCGTCTTTAGAGCCGCTGGATTGTTCTTGCTCCTCATTGGCATCCTTGTCATTGTCTCTTTTAGACAAGTCCTCAGCAGTCAGTGCCATCTGTGCTCCTTGTTTCTTTTCCGTCTCCCAGTAGAACTCCAGCATGCGATCTAAGATGATCTGGAAAGAGTCCACGCTGAACTCAAACTGCCTTCGAAGGGAGCTGACGAACCTGAGTCCCACTGTTTTGGCTCTGCTGTTGGAAAGTGAGATCAGGCTCCACCGGTCATGCTCGTTGAAGACTTTCACCATCTTTTGCACGTATGCTTCCTTCATTGTGAGGCTGGTGATCTTCCGTCTGTTGACTCCACAGGGGAGGAGGTCTCTCAGGCTGCCCAGCACCACCTCCTTAATCACCTGGAAGTCCTCCTGCCTGGGCAGCTCCACTCCAAAAATGATGTCCAAGTCTCTGTAGCCCAGGCCGTTATCCCTCACTAGGATGTGACTGGCAGTCGCTCCGTTAAGGCGAATGTCTTTAACCTGGATGTCTCTTTCGATCAGCCGGTCCTTCACCACTCGGATGATGTCTTTTGCTCTCACCTGCAGCGTGGGAAAATTTCCCCGCCCATGGATTGGGATCACCTCAGTCAGGACTTGGTCAAGAGCCTGGACTTGCTCGAGGGTCAAGTTGTGGAACCTCTTCTCTGTTTTAGGGTCCATAGTCCTCACCTGTGAAAGAGAGGTCTAACATTATGGCTCACAGATGATGCAATAAAACAGATTTGAGATCAGAGAATAAAAACACAAGAGATAAACATTTATCCCTTATGTCTTTGGGCCACAGATTCCACTGTACGTGGAAGATTTTTTTCTTTTAACAAAAATTGAAGTCAACATAGACATCCTTATCCTTAAAGATATTTATCATTAAATTATCTACATGAAAGTTTTCACCTTTGTGAATTTAACATAATTTCCCTCTTGTCTGAATGGTCCAGCTAGCCAGACACTAAACACAGAAATTTAACATTAAAGAAATAGCTCAAATATTTTGAAGTTGTGTATTTGAAAACATTATGCACAATTTATATATTGCCTGTTGTAGATAGGTCTTTGACGATGACTTTAGTTCAAGCGAGGCCACGACCAAAGTATAATGCTGCTGTTTTAAAACTATATCACTATGTTATGTGCAAGTGACTGAACCGTAAACGATTATAAAAGGTGTTTGCAAGAAATGTTTGGAAAGATGGCAGGTGGAGGAGTTCAAGTATCTGGACATCTTTTCACCAGTGATGGTAGGATGGAATAGGCTATGGATCGACAGACTGGGGCCTCATCCCTAGTAATGAGGGTGTTGCTTTAGTCAGTTGTGGTGGAGAAAGAGGCAAAGCTCTTGATTTACTGGTCTGTCTAGGTTCCGACCCTCATCTGTTGTCTTGAGGTTTGAATCATGATGGAAAGAAGGACATCCCGGATACAAGCAGCTGAAATGAGCTTCCTTCTCTGGGTAGGCGGCCTCAGCCTTCGAGATGGGGTGAGGAGCTCCATCATCCAAAGGGAGCATGGAGTAGAGCCACAGCTTCTCAGCATTGAAAGGAGTCAGTTGAGGTGGTTCAAGCATCTGATTAGGATGTCTCCTGGACACCTTCCTTTAGAGGATTTCCAGACACGTCCCACTGGTAGGAGGCAGACCAGAAGTCGCTGGAGGGACTGTGTATCTTCTCTGGTCTGGAAACGTCTCAGGGTCCTCCAGGACAAGCTGGAAAGTGTCGCTGGGAAGAAGGATGTCTGGGTTTCTCGCCTGGAACTGTTACCTCCGTGACCTGACTACGGAGCAGCAGTCCAAGATGAAGATGGAGTTGTTTTATGACTACAGAAGTCCACCATCGTCTTGGCTCCACTTGGTGTTTTAACCGTTAGTTCTGTCAGATTTAATTCTGTTTCTTCAAACTAAGGTTGCTTAAGAGCCATCTACAACAGGTAAGATAATAACTCTTCATAATTGTTTCCCCTTTTATAAGATCTGAACTCTCAATAGTTCTCATGGTGGAGAACACAGTAGTAGCTTGTCCGGTGAGCTGCAGCTCGATGACAACAAAATACAGTAAGGCGCTAATGATAAATGTAGATTTTGTTATTTTTACTTTTCTGTTCATACATGAGTTAAGTCCAGAAATTAAAACAAATTAGCATCAGTTGTACAGCGAAAAAATAGAATCTGAATGGATTTATTTGGATTTATTGGACATGGGGCTGTAGAATCAAATCAATATGTTGTCCCTATCATAAAAACACTCGAGGCATTTAATTAAAAATTCTTAAAAGCAGACACATGAATGATGTTGAGAACTCTTTACAATGCCTTTGGAGATATTTTTATTCATTTAATTAAGCAACCGTCTCTCTCGCCTATAAATAGTTTTAATGAAAGATTTAAAGCTGGATTTGTTGCATTGTTGTTTATTTGAGGTGACTCACTGCTCTGTCAATCACCTGGAGACATGAACACCATGGTTGGCGTGTCGCTGACGTGCATTACATGATTTTTTTTAAAAACTCTTTTTTTTAATTTTACAACCTTGGTAAGGATTTTTTGGACAACGCAGAGGGAGAAAGTGATCCTACGTCATTGACAACTGACTCACCTTTCACAAAAACACATCATAACAGGGTAAGGTGGATGTTTTTTAGGTTTGTGGACAGAACCAAAGGGAACAAATTTTTACTAATTTCACATAAATTTGTTCAAAAACACACGTGCATGAATACATTAAAAAACCGAACCACATCAGCATTAAAATCACACCTAAAAATAAAAACATAAAGCTGACTATTGTCTTGCTTTGTGATTTTAGATGAAGCTTTAATAAAGGCTGCAGAGAGGGATGACATGTGTGTGTTGGTGTGTTTTGGTGGCCCTCCAGTGCAGGTGCAGAGCAACCTGCAGGGCCCACAGCAGCCTCTGGCGCCCCTCAGGGGGCTCTGCAGCAGCTCGTCCTGCAGCAGGACTGCTCCTCTGCCACTTCTTTACAGATAAGACTATATGAGTCATACAGCCGCTGAACAAAGCATCACTCATTGGCTCCCCTGGGTTCTTTCAACAACAACAAAAAAATGCGCCATAAAATGCCCTGTCATGTAAACGTCATTAAACGCAACACTGTCCACATTAACAGACTGAAACTGAATGTGCAGAGGTTAAATGAAATAAACACAACAAACTCAACCTGCACGGATAGCAAATAATAAATAAATAAAACTCACCTGGTTGGTGGTGGAAGTTGCCGTGAAAAGTCAACTCAACGCAGGCGCAAATTATTTTTATTAATGAAATTTTGTATCCCACAGCTTTATCCGACCCTGAAGTTAACACCGGTTCCCGCCCTCTCTCAGCGCGCGAGCGCAACTGTTTCCATGGCGATCAACCGTCACGAATATCCGATCACGACCCACTCCAAACTACGCTTTAACTTTAAAAAACAAAGCGGAACCGAGCCGGGGCGGTTGGATAAAGTTGTTTCTCGTCTGTTGTCGGTGTGTCCGGCTGGAGCAGCGGCGTGCCACCGCACTGCCGAGCTGTTGCGGGGTGAAACATCACATCAGACGGGAGTGAGTCATCCTCTCTCCCCGCCGTGATCCACACAGTGAATCTAATCACCCCGACGACGCCCACCGCTCCACAGAAACACACACTTTTACCACCGCTGGCTACACTCGCTAGCCTTGTTCGGTCGGTGTTTCAACAACAGAGCAGTGAATTTGTTGTTATTGTGTATGTGTGTGTGTTTTCTGTATTTTCATTCACAGATGGGGGAAAGAAAGAGGCGGAGGCAGCTCGCTGCTGACGCTTGAATGGGATGCCGACTGTAAGGAAGGTCAATTTGTCATATAAAAGAAAGGAGCTTCAAAATAGAAATTTATTAAAGGCCAGACTCTTTTGTAGGAATGAATATTGTCCGCCGGCTTTCGTGCTCCATCCATCCATCTATTATAGAGATCATCAAACTTTTAAGACCTCAAGAGCTACTTCAGGGGTACACGGTGGTATAGTCTACTACACGATACTCGGATATACGGAGTATACCCATTTGAAAAGCTTAAGAATTTCAGTATACCCTCTTCAAAGTGCACAGTGATATGTAACATATCATTAGACATGTATCATTGATACGTTAAACGCTTCCGTAACAATCTGTCTGTATGCAGCACTTGTTTATTACATTCGCTCATCCATCAAATTATTGCATTCTGTACTTACTACTTGTATTTTGCTTTGATACTGTTTTATGTATTCTATAACATGTTTTTAACACAAAGCTCTGTTGTACAAAGTTTGTTGTACATTTATTCAAATTTAAACATCAGAGAAATTTGGAAATGTTCAATATGCTTAATCAAAAATAAATTGACAATTACATTGTGTATTTTGGTTTCTAAGCACAGTATACACACTACAAAAATGTAGACTACACCACAGAGTACCACGAAGGGCTACTTGTTTGATAAAACATTAATATGCACGGCTCATCTTTGATATCCATCCATCATCTTTACCCACTTTTTTCCTTTTTGGGTCACGGGGGTCATTGGTGCCCAGGTCCATCACTGTGTGAGAGGCAGGGGACACACTGGACAGGTCTCCAGTCCATCACAGGGACAGCCTAACATGCATGTTTTTGGTCTGTAGGAGGAAACCGGAGGACCCGGAGAGAACATGCAAACTCAACGCCCCAGCTGAAATTCGATCCAACGGCCTTCTCAATGAGCGGCAACAGCTTTACCAACTGCGCCACCGTGCCGCCCAGTTGTATTTTAGTCAACTAATTTATAAATTTGTAGATGAATGCTTTTTGAAAATTATTCATCTGGATAACCTGATGCATGCTCAATAATCCAGGTAGAAAAATCCAAAAAAGTTCAATCTGGTCCTCTGGACATTCAAAAAAAAAAATAAAAATTAGAAACGTTTCGTCTCTCATCCGAGAGACTTCCTCAGTCTGAGGTGCTGTATTCAGCTCAGTCTCTTAAATAGCACCTTCTCAGAGTGGATCAACCAGTTTGCTGCTGACAACCAAAACCAGCTG